TCCGTATGGGCACAGTCATTACCATTGCCAAGCTACGGTCACATGTATAGAGATTAGTTGTACAGTATAAGGATGTTTCGAAGGCTATCAGCCAGCAGCAGGGTAAAGGTCTGCACCAGATGCTTGCTCCTCCCCTCCCGATGCTGGAGCTAGAGCTCCGGTTCGATTTTGAGCAACATCATGCCAGGTTCAATTATTCTTGTGGAGGATGTGGGGTTGACCGTAATGGAAGTGGAGAAAAATTAGAGATTTCTTATACTTGAGTACTACGGCTACAAGACAACTGGGGAAGTTAATATTAGAGAACTTAATAAGGCTAGTCAAGAGCTCGGGAAGATCACGTTGAGAGTGACGTTGGTCCTCCGTACTATCGACCAACTACTACTTGTGATGGGTGGGCTGTCACTTTCTCAGCCCACCGTTAACGGGGACACACATGCTGTCAGTGCTTAATTTAATTTTAATGTTCCCGTGATTATCGGTGTCATAACCCGCTTGGTCCCACTTTCTTCGCTAAGGTTTCATTGGATTAAATTGTCATTTTAAAGTATGGAACCCGATGTGGCCCGGCCACTCAGGGGCGGTGCTGCTGTTAGGGTCTGGAATTTCCAGGTGGATAGGTATCATGCTGGTAGGTGTCTTCCCTAATCTTTTTTTTTTTCTTTTTTTTTCCTAGGGCGTTTGCCGTTTGCTGCTCAAATTGGTGGTTATTAGCTATGACGCTGTATGTTGGAGTAATATGTTGATCGCTCTATAGATAGGGATGAGGTTTCTCTATTATGACTGACCCCGGCATATTAGCATTCACTATAAAGAAAGAGTTGAAACTTAGAGGCTCAACGCTATGCAGCTTACACAGCTTCATCGATAAGCGAATTCCACACTCTGAGGATCCTTCTTGAAATCTCTATATCTTGCCACTGAGCACAGCGGACTCCGTAGGGAAACTCGTGGGTGAGGTGCTCACTGAGCGGAACTGGGTTGATGTCTTCCGCAATAGCCGCGGAGCTTAGACTGGGGCTAATTAGTCCAGCAGAGGGTGACATCCCATCTCCTGAGGCTACAAATGATAGCGTCAGCTACTCCAACATAGTGGATAGTGGATATGCGTTCGATGTAACCAGCTAGCGGCATGGACCGCACACCACATGGGTCAGATAGCGATACAGGCTTAGTAGGATGGAGCAACTCTTCCCTAAACTTGGCTATATTACGTGAATTAGCTTGGATTGTCTTACCTTCCGCCTCTGTCTAGGCGCCGATCTCGACTAGACTCATATTGGGTCCTGTGTACATTGCCTGGGGTAGTCACTTGTACTAGCAAGTACCCAGAAAAGATTGGAATAGTCGCTATTCCGCGAGAGGGCTTACTCCTGAGAAGGTATCGAACTATGCCGAATGGGCCCCAGTTGTATACCGAAGGTCGCCGAACATTTGAACGTCGTGGACCAAAGTGGTAGGTAAGGTACCTTGCCCAGGACTTTCTCTGTGAGCAGTATGAAGTGGATCCTCAGTCGAATAGCCAATCGGTAAACGCCGTACGCGACATGCAGACCAATGGCAAAGCGCGGCAGAAACAGACAAGCGCTCGCCATTCAGAGAGAGTATAGGTCGTGCCATATCATGCATCTGGCCCAATAAAAGACCCTCGGTGGAGTATACAAGGGCAGGTGATCGATGTGGACGACAGGGATGTTACTTAATATGGTTTAAGCAATTCACCTAAATCGAGGTTACTTTAGGGTACCTCGTCCTAGAGACTTTGGTTCAGTGGTGGATCGTAATCGGAATACCAGTGGGGTATAAGACCCACCTGTTCCAGTGTTCGACTTGGTGCGAAACCCTGCGTCAATGCTCACGGCCATTGGCAAGGTCTAGACTGTGCGTTCTTGATTAGGATCTAAACATATGTATTGGTATACTGGCCTGGGCGTGTCTGTATCGTATCAGGTGATAGTCATCCACCTCAACACGGACACTCTCGTGCCTATACAAATTTGATACATACCTCTATCGAACGCTCCCCTCTGTGCGACATGACGTCCGAGGAGTCGAAGTCCGTGGGACATATACTCAGTGCATATGTTTTGTGCTACTTGATGGTCTAACCAAACCAACTGTGCTCTTCACTTCTGTCGAGCTCAGCGTTCTGTTATTGCGCTTGACTTGGTAGTGTGGCTTTCCTGGTTTCCGCCACGGACTCCATAACTAACGGTCCAAAAACCAGTGGGAGATGCCCCACGCGGGGCATCCTTATTCGAACCAGTGACCTCATGCTCGAGTCAAACTGTTGGCAGTGCCGTGCGGGACCACAAATCACTACTGAAGCTGGTGAGCGGGGATGATCCTACGAGCAAAACCTGTCTCCCGTGCGACATTTTCGAGTTTAGTTGATGATGGGCGCACGACCTTCTGCTTAAGAGTGGCACTGCATAACAGTTCATTGACTGAGTCAGCCAATATCCTTTGCCTCGGTATCCAATCCCTTCACGTTTACCTCACCTGTCCTGCTGTGTAAATTCACCATTAGCCAATCACCTCGATGACTCCGGTTGGGTTATTACTTGGCGCACATGCCAATTGATCAGGTACTATACGTCCTACCATCAAGTGTTAGTGAAAATGTTAGCAGACATCATTCGGAATAACCTCCAAGCCATGAAGTTTGTCGCCGAGTTTAGCGCGGTGAACACCGGATGCATGTAGTTTACTCCATTGTGGGCTTCTTTCGACCGACAATCCTTATGTTTTGCACCACGTTTCGCGTCCAGCCTCTAGAAAGGTTGGCAGTATAGTCACATCGCTGTGTTGGCCGGTGATACAGCACCTATAGATATGCTTCTATGATCGGGGATGGATCTTGACAGCTGCATGACGGCCCATCCGAAGATGCTCACCAATGATCTGAACAGGTGCTACCCACTGATAGCCATTGAATCACCTAGTTAAGGACCTAGGCAGGCAGACATTCGCTCCCCATCTGGACCCCGCCGGTTCCCTTACAAGTCCAAAACAAAAAGCTATTAGGAATCAATTGATTCGTAGCTGTGAGAAGGTTTGGAGGCTTCTATCTCACTTTTCATCATATGGGAAGAGAGACAGTACGCCACTGGCTTGCTTAGGCACATCTAGTTGCTCTGCGATTACTTTGACTTTCTGCCGCCATCCCCACTTGCACTTGGAATTTCCATGGTTGGGACGGAAAGGTTCGTGTCCGAAGATAGTAAGAGGCAGCAGTCCGTGCCGTCGAGATTGGCCTTACCATTCGCTTGATTGCGGCGCACCACCATGACTGGTTCTTTCAACTCTTCATGTTCTCACTCTCTCGCGTGCTCCATGCTCTTTCATGTTAGCGATTGTCATATCCAAAAATAAGTTGACAATAAACAACATGCATGAAGATGTTATGAAACGTGCATGAGGCAGATAAAGAGGCGCAGTAGATATTCTTAGATACAATGCCCGGATCCGGCGACTCCAGACATTATATCTCACAGTCTTAAGAACGCCCCTAATCTCGAGGTGAAACACGATTTCTATGTCAGTTGGGATCCTAAGCGTTGGTCCCAGTCACCCGACCAAATGTTCAGGTCCCTGGGGCGTTTGAAATGTGAACTCGGCCCAGTCTGGACAGGGCTCCAAGAGGAGAGGCCCAAGTGAAAACGGTGACGGATTTGGAAAGGTTGCCCTCTTGGCGCAAATCAAGCAAGTAATCTTCCAGAAGAAGATCAACCGGGGGGCGGCTGTCCTGGAGGGTGTTAGTTGTTGCTCAGATCCCTGGTGTTGATCCTTTGCTGTCATGCTGAAAATCTGCAGGTGACACTACGTTGCGAGGGAGAAGGTGTTAAGTTCGGGTTACGCAACCCGTTGAGGCGATGTGGTGTTGCTTTTGTTAATGATCAAGCTCCCATGGTTTCACTAAGAGTTTGCAATTGATATTAGATAGACGGGTTCAGTATACAGCACGGTCGAGATCGTAAATCAACCCAAATTGTCGTGTCCATTTTTGTCGATTGCTTGCATGCACTAGAGCTCACCTACATACATAGTGAGGCCACTCCGATAAGATAAGGTAATTCAACGTTTGTGTAGAAGCCAACACGGCTTCCATTGGACTTCTATGGCTTTTGGTGGACCAAATACCACACCGAAAGAACAAAGAAATCGAACTGGAGCCCCTGCGGTTCCTGCGCAAGCCATCCTCCTCCGTCGAACTCAATCCTCCCGCTTGACGGCGGTAGATCATCGTAGGGCACCAGGTAAGTTTGGTAACTCGCGCCTCCTTCCAATCCAGCGACGATCGCCATGATGGAGATCAATTGAGGAGAGATCTAGAAGTTGGCGGGTCAGCATTAGCTGTATTGGGGTCGCCGGTGTTGTCAAAAATAGCGACCGGCACACAGGTTTGGGGAAAGGTTCTCGAGAGCGAAAGAGAAGAGGGTGGGAGTACTAGTAGACGTTGTAATGGCGTCCATTCCATCCCCAGACTTGCGTGATACTGTCCTACTATCAGAAGGTGACAGCCTCGACGCACGTTCCCAATAGCTGCGTGCGGCAGTCAAATCAAATCAATTGTAAATTAGTACGACACTTGTATGACCCCCTTCGCCACTCGCATCTGATCGACGAAGGTGACCCATGATTTTAGCTGTGAGAAGGATCAAAAGCAATCATGAGAGGGATAAACATATCACTTCGTTGGTTCCAACAGCCAACATGAACGCTGGGAAACATGGGGAGCCTTTGCCCCATGATCCCTGCCCTCACGTGATCAAAAAGTATCCAAAAGTCAGGAACGCCCATGGCGGTACTTTCCCCTATTTGTCTACGGTCGGAAAAGAAAATCTCACGAATTACCTATAGGCAACCAACCAACTTCCACCTTCGATTGCCAAGCATAATATACAGTAGTATGCATAGTGCTGGGGGGTAGGGGGAAGCGGGGATATGCAGATGGATATGGGCTGGTCGAAGCTGTCATTTCTCTTGGGTCTAGCCCCGGTGGGGATATCAGCCTGTCGATCGCAGATAAAAAGTGGCACTAATCTAGAAACAGCAGGATGGTTGTTCGCGCTAAGTGTAAGGCTTGTAAAAGTGAATTAATTACAGTGGGGCGATTGGCTGTGTCAGTGCGCTAGTGGCAGGCTCCCATGATCTACTCTCTGGTCGACCAGTCTGAACGGGTCGGATACTTCAACCCGACCAATGGTTAGGCCAATAAAAGTGCACTGGCGTTGTTGTATGTGATCATACTACGTCTAGTACTTTTCCAATCCTGTACTCCGTACGTCAAGAACCAGAGACACAGGAAAAAGGTCGAGGCTTCAATCCATTCCATATTCCTTCTACTGGAAGCTAATTACTAGTAGTATACAACCAGAACTCTCGACGGCACGGGCACACTTCCCAATAGGTAAGAAGTTAATTTAAGTTAAAGTGAGCTGAATCAGTGTCAGGAATATCCTAACCAAGGTACCAATATCATCTTTTTCTGCGAGCTGCCCGTTCCCAGATGGGAACTATAGAGCGAGAGTATTTGGAATAACCGGCGACTGATGATGCCCGCAGAAGATTTGACCATATGCCTCCTTCTGTGCACTGATTCATCTGATACCAGAAATGAGAGACACGATGGGGAAATCGGTAAACCCCGTTTGGTCCCGTTTGGAACCACTTCAAACATGGAACTGCCAGCACCCGATCCGCTGAGCCCAACAGATTCTTGCTCATCGAGCTCTGCCCGTCGATGCCGTCCCTATGATGGCAAGTCCGGTCTGGTAAGGTTTTTACTAGCGGTGATCTACTGGTTCTACTGTGGAGAAAGCAGTACGGGATCACTCTCTGTGTACATATGGCGGGTACACACAACGTGCGGGAGGAATGCTGGAGCAGGGTACCGTGGTTGCATTCGCACGATTTACTATTCTCCACGATGTGCTTCCGATGGGTGAAGAGACTGCTGTCCCGTCTTCCTAATGTACATACTTTTCGGTGAATGGTCTTCCATGGAACTCCTATATCGGCCTTTGATATACCCCAGGTGAAATTCTAACCTGTCCTCTCTTCTGTCATCCAGACACAGAAGAGAAAGAGAGGCAAAATTGCTATACTGCAGAAATAAACTGTAGTTCCAGACTGGTCTGTCAGGGTTCCGACTAGTGGAGAATCTGACAAGTGTGAAAATTAGACAGCGGAGATAAACATGAAGAACAAATGAGTCAGGGAGATTCATTTCTCGCCTTCCCGATTCGATGATGCTCTAGCAAGACCGGGGGATTCCAAATTGATCGACTTCCCGTGTCGCCATGAACATTCAATTATGATCCAATTAGTTTTTCACTCACACCTAACCATTCCGAATTCTATACGGGGTGATAGGTCCATATTTCCGGCCAGGCCTGTCAGCCATCAGCCATCGCTCTGGGGATTTTGCCGCTGCGTCGCGAACGGAGGCTGCTGATTCTGTATAGGGTGGTAGAAGATCTTACGACTGTAGGAAGGTAATGAATATCCTGATTCTCAAGGGCAAAAGGAGGATTTTTGTGCAACAATGCTTGGACGTTGGAGTGGCAGCGAACTCTATTGACCAACCCACCCTCCTACTAGTCCTCTTAGTATTACTATCATTATTATTATTAGGCCTAAACCTTCGGACAGAGGATAGTGCGTTGTCTAGTTCTAAAACGGTTCCTCCTGGCCTGGGCTCTTCACCCGCATCCGGTAAAAGAATCTGCAACAACAGGAGCTTTTTTCTTCTCTTTCAACCATTGCAAGATCTCAGACACAATTTCATGGATGCTGAATTTGGCACAAAGGGAGCAAAGAGCAGGAGGGGCTATTTTGGAACCACTGGTGTATCTAGTTGAAGACAGAGACAATATAAAGAAGGAAACTGTGAGAGAAATATGCACATAAAAAGGAACCCATCCTATCCTGGGGAAGAGGCCCAAACATAATAGGGCACCCATCCAATGAGATTTCAATTAAAAATAAAGGGTAGATAAAGTGTGAGTGTGAAAAAAAAAGACCGTAAGAAGAAAAAGAAAAAGAAAAAGAAAAAGAAAAAGAACAAGAAAAAAGCCCTTTCCAATGTATCAAATCACCTGCACCCATGT